AAGTGAGCCACCTGTATCCTGTTTTGGGCTGAGATTGCATGCCACCTGTTCATTCTGCGCTTGGATCTCAAAGGACTTCAATAATCATCATTAGATGCAAGTTAAAGTATATCTAGAGCCAAGAACAAGATGTCATATATCACAGCTTACCCGTTTCCTGATGTGGTGGCTGCATTAGTTTTCCTTTTTCATGGTGATTCTGCCAGTAACATACTTCTTGTACTAGGGTGACACAGTGGTGTATCTAGGGCAAGGGTAGCCAAACTCTGGCCCTCCAGCTGTGGTGAAACTACAAATTCCATGATGCATCTCTCTCCGGGAGTCATGCCTGTGGCTGTGAGGATCTTGCAATGCCTCATGGGATTTGTAGTTCCACCACAGCTGGAGGGCCGGAGTTTGGCTACCCCTGATCTAGGGTATGGCACATGCCCTGGGTCACGTGGAGGGGTGGCGGGGGGGGGGGCACTCCATGGGTCAGTGAAAGTTCATGACCCATGGAGACAGCTGTATTTTCTCTCCCATACACATCTCCCCGTCCAGCTCTTAGCAACCAGGGATGCTCTGGCCGGTTGCCTGTCCATCTCCTGACATCACTGGTTGCCAGGACCAGGGTGAGACGCCAAGGGTGCAGTTTGTTGTAGATTTGTCTCTGGGGGTGACAACGCTCACTCACTGTACGATATCTATGGAGGAGCAGCCTCGTCACACATGGGGCAGGACTACAGAACACATACCCTTGTCCACATCTCTATAACATAGAGGGGAGTGGTTTTGTAGCCCACAGAGAGGACTGGGAGCAATGTAATTGTTTAGGGAGCAGCAGAGGCAAAGAGGTTATAAGCTGACAAGGTTTCTGGTACAACAAGGGTTAAGTGCTCGTTTTGGTCTAGCAGCTGGAATAAAGCTTTTTTTTTTTTACTTACCTGATTCCGGCTCCTGTGGTGGGGTCAGCGCTCACCTCTCTCTCCCTCCACTCTCTGGATACTGGAATGTCCCTCCGTATCCTTATGTCCTTATGGTCAATGGAACCAGCATTAGATATCAGCAGTCCTTAGACTGCCTGAGCCCTGGGGGGGGGGGAAGAAGACGCCTTACACCTTGCAACCTGACTAAACAGTCTCCTTCAGAACCAACAGTGATGAAGTATGAGAGCCTCCTGCACCAGATACAAACGGAGCGGATTGGTTGGGCTTCTACTACATAGTTTCGGTAGATCTAGAGAAGATGAAGGAAGATTGAGCACTCGGGCCGGAAGGTGAACGGCCACATTTAGAGGGATTTTGCTTTGTGACAAATTTCATTTACTGGAAAAAAAAAAAATGAAACAATTAAATTCTTTTTATTACATTTATTGTATTTGTTATAAAAAAAAAAAAGTCCCGGGGTTCCTCAGCAGCCCGTCCTCCTATTGCAGGGTGTAGGTCTGCGTCACGCTGTTCAGGGAAAGGGTCACAAGGAGTGAACGCGGGTCCTTCCTGTTCTTGCGCACAACGATTTTCCCGGATAAGAGATCGCCTGCAAAAAAAACATTAACATGAGAAGATACAATCTGCAGGTCTAATGCTCCCACCATACACACTGCAACTGATTGAGGCTGACCTCCGTCCTCCCCTTCAGTCTTCTATCTGACCTCCGTCCTCCCCTTCAGTCTTTTATCTGACCTCCGGCCTCCCCTTCAGTCTTCTATCTGACCTCCCTCCTCCCCTTCAGTCTTTTATCTGACCTCCGGCCTCCCCTTCAGTCTTCTATCTGACCTCCGTCCTCCCCTTCAGTCTTCTATCTGACCTCCGTCCTTCCCTTCAGTCTTCTCTCTGACCTCCGTCCTTCCCTTCAGTCTTCTATCTGACCTCCGTCCTTCCCTTCAGTCTTCCATCTGACCTCCGTCCTTCCCTTCACTCTTGCACAGTTGTACTGGCTCCTCTTCCTCTGATGCCACTGCACACTGGGAGCTTCTCACAATGTGCATTAGAAGCTACAGCAAGTCAGATAGAGTCCGCCCTTATTTCCTGGCTGGAGGACATCCAGCATCATCTAGTGCTTTCCTCCCCTGGCCCCACCCCTTTCATTCATTGGACTTCAGTTCTCTCAATCATGGAGGCTCAGCATCACATGTGGGTGTTACCTAGGGTGGTCTGCATGCAAATACAGCCTGCCTAGGAACGCCCTCTCCTCCAGAATGACACCCACCCATCAAACATTTTTACCATTTGCATAACTCCTCCCAAGAGCCAGCCCACTGCTTGCAACATGAGAGCTCTTCAGAAGAGTACCGAGGCCGGGTGCTATGTACAGCACCCTGCCACCGTCCATGATATGCCTGCACTGCAAGGTAGATATAGGGAGAATAAGGATCTGGGACCCAAGGAGGACATAGTAACATAGTAAAAGGAAAAGGCCAAGGTGGTTATTTCAAAAGAAAAGACACAGTGACTCAAAGGGGAGAAAGGACGGGGGGCGCGGGGGGTTAAGGGAGGAAAAGCCTACGGGACTCAAGGGAGTATAGGGAAGTAAAGGCTCTGGAACTCAAGGTGTGTATAGGGGGGAAAAAAGCTTTGGGACTCACGGAGATTATAGGAAGGAAGAGACTTTGGGATTCAGGGAGTTTAGGGAGAAAAGGATCTGGGGCCCAAGTAGGACATAGGGAAGGAAAAGGCTCTGGGGCTCATGGGGGTTATTTGGAGGAAAAAAAAGACACAGGGAAGCAAGGTTGGGAGGGGGGGGTAAAAGGAAAAAAGCATATGGGACCCAAGAGAGGCAGAAAAAGGCTTTGGTACTCAAAGGGGTAATAGGAAGGAAAGCACGTTGGGAGTCTAGGGGGTATAAGGAGAAAGGGAACTGGGACCCAAGGAGAGCATAGGGAAGGAAAAGGCTCTGGGGTTCAAGGTGGTTTTGGGGGGAAAAGACACAGGGACACACCAGGGGAGGGGGGAGAAATTAAGGGAATAAAAGCATATGGGACTAAAGGGAGTATAGGAAAGAAAGGGCTCTGTAACTCAAGGTGGGTATAGGGAGAAAAAGCATTGGGACTCAAGAGAGTAAAGGAACTTGGCCCCAAGGAGGGCATAGGGAAGGAAAAGGCTTTGGGGCTCAAGGTGGTTATTGGGGAAAAAGACACAGGGACGCACGAGGGGAGGGGGGAGAAATTAAGGGAAGAAAAGCATATGGGAAAAAGTTCTGGGAAACAAGGGGAGTATAGGAAAGAAAAGGCTCTGGGAAACAAGAGCGTAATAGGAGGAAAAGACTCTGGGGATTCAAGGGAGTAAAGGAACTTGGACCAAGGGGGGCATAGGGAAGGAAAAGACTCCGGGGATTGAAGTTAGATAGGAGGAGGAAAAGGCTCTGGGGATCAAGGTGGGTGATTGGAGGAAAAGACACACTGACTCAGGGGAGTATAGGAAAGAAAAGGCTCTGGAACTCAAGAGGGGTAGAGTGAGGAAAAGACTCTGGGGATTCAAGGGAGTAAAGGAACTTGGACCAAGGGGGGCATAGGGAAGGAAAAGACTCCGGGGATTGAAGTTAGATAGGAGGAGGAAAAGGCTCTGGGGATCAAGGTGGGTGATTGGAGGAAAAGACACGCTGACTCAGGGGAGTATAGGAAAGAAAAGGCTCTGGGGCTCGAGTGGTAGCGGGAGGAAAAGGCTCTGGGGATCAAGGTGGGTGATTGGAGGAAAAGACACGCTGACTCAGGGGAGTATAGGAAAGAAAAGGTTCTGGGGCTCGAGTGGTAGGGGGAGGAAAAGGTTCTGGGATGGAAGTGGTTGAATAAAACCTGTTTTGAGGGGAATATTAGGACTGCCTTTGCCGACCTCCTTTGAAATGTTTTTTGGAAGCCGTGTTTGCATTCAATGCTTTGCTATTGGTCCAGAATAAGAATGCAGCAGCAAGCACAAGCAGAGCCTCTTCCTCCCTACCCCCTAATCTGAGTGTATCCCGATCAGAAGTACTGCAATGACAGCCAGGCAACCAGCATTTAGAATGGCCAGCCTTCATATTCCTCTCTCGACGGGATTCTTCCCTTCTCCAGGAGGCCGGCGGCGGAGAGGTAATCAATGTACAATTTGCCGGCTGGAAGCAACGGCTAAGCCTTCAATCTGCTTTGTGCGCCATTCTTCCCTCGCAGCTGAGCGGAGCCGGGAGCCCGGGAACACCTCGCCTGATCGCCACAATTAATCAGTGTCATGTAGATATCAAATGACTGATGTTTCGGAGCGCCCAGCTGGCCCCCTCGGAGTCTCTCCAGGATAGATCCACTTCACCTTGCTCTTATCGTCCCCCTGCCGGCTGCCAGAGCGGCGCTCGGCGGCGGAGCTGTGAGATTAGGGACGGAATACATTTCATTATTACCCTATTATGCTCTTTTATTTGCCCCTCGGAGACCACTTAAGTCGGCTTACAAATAAAACTTACAGCGATCGGCGCGCCATCTGCTTACAAATAGCCCGGAAATAAACACGTGTACGGCGAAGAGCCGAGATACCGATATCTGTAATTTTGCTGCGCGCCGGGAACGACCGGCACCGCGACTTACGTGAGAGGCAGATAAAAAATACACTATGACATCTAGCTACATAGTCACTGAGAACGGAAGGAGATGGATCTCTACGCGCACCCAGCAAAGCGATTCCCCTTTGATGGGTGCGCAATCTGAGCTGTTGTCAGTCTAACAATGTAAACATGCTTACAGGAACTAAAATCACAAGATGATGTCATCACTCTGCTACTGTGTCTTCACTCTCCAGTCATTCGGCTGTGGGACGCCCAGTGACCAAGTTGTATTAAAGGAGAACTATGGGGTCAGGGCTTTTCCCCATAGTTCTCCTTAGGGTAACGGGAGGACACAAACTAGCGTCCTCCCGTCACCCTAGGCTCAGTATATAGGGAGCTACAGCTCGCGGTATACTGAGACCGCCGCAGCCGAAGCGGATCCCAACAGTTATGCCGGGATCCGCCCAGCTGCGTGAGTGACAGCTGGCTCTGCCTATCTAGAGGCAGAGCCAGCTGTACCCGCCCCCTCCCCCGTCCGTTCCGCCAGTCAGCGCTGGAGGATCGGAGCGGGGAATCCAGCCCCTCCCCCTGTCACGGCAGAGAGCCGTGACAGGATCGAGAGGTGAGCGAACGCCGGTATGTGTTCGTTCACCTCCCGATCTACTGA